GGAATATAAGCCGTGGACCTAGTTCCCATACCCAATACAATCCTAGACCCTTAGATCCTAAACTCTTTTGAATCCTGAAGCATAAAAGAGCTACTGTGGACATGATAAGGAACCCATGTCCATTAAATCATGTAGAAAATATTATCTGTAGGTCATATATCCCCTGCAAGCCCCTTACAGCGATTGTACTACCCCTACGTGACCCCATTGGGTTATACCCTACACCCTAAACCCTATCTAACCCCTAATAGACCCTATGGGCAGCCCCAAAAAGGTACCCCGAATTTGATACCCTGCCCTAAACCCTAAACCTCCACCAGTAGTAAGACGAAGTAGCAGCCAGTCCTCCTACTCTGCCCTTGACCTATGTGTCGGCTGCCACAATTTTTTGGAGGATCCCCAGAACAAGGGTTAGGGTTTAGGCGTTTAGGGGTTAGGGGTTTGGGTATATAAGGTGGGACCTTCATTATCTGGAAATATGCTTTTTAAGCTTAAATCTTAAACCCTAAGGGTTTGTTCCTTTCCAGAAATGCCTAGGTCGTGACTTCGGCCCTTGAAGAGTACCAGCAGCGCGCCTGAGCCTGACCAAGCAACCTCTGAGAGCCAAGCCGTCTAATAGAAATACTACTAGACATAGCAGTAGTAGGATGGTAGCAATAGTTGCCAAATGGTATAAGACTAATAGCAATTGATGTAGGAATAATACTGAGCGTGCAGTAGCTGTAGCAGTAGTAGTAGTCGTCGTTGTCGTCGTTGTCGTAGTAGTCCAGTAGTCGTAATAGAAGAAGAATGAGTGCTTCAGGGTATAGGTATCGCTTCGAAAATTGTTGATTGAATCCCGAGATCTTGCCAACTTGGTTAAGCAACCCTTTCACAGACCGCAAGAGATAGATTTGTAAAACAAGCAACTCCGGTATAAAGTCCCCGACGTTTGGGGTGTAGGGTTTAGGGCCCCCATGTTGTCTGTATATAACCCTCAGATCCTTTGACGGCTTGACCTGGCACCTGTGATTGTTCAGGTGCTGTGGGCGAGACAGACCTGGGCACATGACTGCCCCGCCCTTGGAGAGACATAGTCAAATTCAGAGGGCTCCTTTTGGAGCGTGGTAACGAATTTGGAGAAACATCCGTATAGGTTGCTTGTATAAGGAGCAATAGGGGGGGTGGTCTACCCCTTGTCTTTTTTTTTGGCAGCCGGAAGCCCTAGAGAACACAGTGGGTTTTTGTGCCTCGCGTGGTTCTTTCCGTAGGATGGCCCAGCCATTGGAGCGCCACTGGGAGCCTGAAGAACTTTCAATTTTAATGTAATCAGTCTATATCTGGGGGTTTCCCCAAATTGGGGATACTTTTTGAGGGGTCCTCAGAATCAGGATTATAGTATTTTGGGGCCTATATCAGGGTTCCCCTATTTAGGGATAGTACCACATGTACTCTGTCCTTAGGTAAACAAAATCTTCGCTAAAGCCTTGTTCTACTTACCGGATCTTCCTTGTCGTGGAGACTGTCTTCAGTGCTGAGCTGTTTCGTGCATGTGCAAGTAATGAGGTTTCGATTCTGAATGTAGACGAAGCAACTGTTTGCCAAGCTAGCTTTTTTCTTGGAAAGCCGGAAATGCTGAACGTCCATCACGATGACATTCTGCTTCTTCTGATTGTATTTGCTATTCTTATGACTGATGCTATATCCAGGAGACCCGTTTAACTAGCAATCCCGTCAGTCCAAGCGCACGGTCCTCCAAATCACAACATATAATTACAAACCGTGAAGTCCCCAGCCCTATACACCCCCAAACCAGAAACCCAAAGCTCTACACCCTAAGCCACAGACCCTCAGACTCCCAAACCCAAACCCAAAGCAACTTTTTGGGAGAAAGTTTCCCTAACCCCTTACAACCTGAATCCAAAACCCTAAAGCCCTAAGCCCCCATGCGCTATGCACCAGGGCCTGAAATCCTCTTCGTAGCTGGTGTGGGAAGCTCAGAAGTCCAGGAGCACTGGTGCCAGGATATTCAAGATTTTGAGGTTTAGGGTTTAGGGTTTAGGGTTGACCAGTTTAGAGGAGTTACCTAATATTTTAGATTGTAGGGTTTAGGGTTTAGACTTGGGGTTCAAGGGGAAAGCGAAGGCGCTTACGGATCCTATGGATATGCAGGGATTACAAAGGGACTGCAGGGATCTCCCCAAGACATTATGTAAATCTTGTTGTTGAGCCGTTCCCAAGTTGTGGATGGTCTTTTCTAGTAAAGGGGGGTGTCCTTGAATTTACCGTATTCTCCAGGACTTAAGTAGTGATTTTGTCAGGGATTAGGCTTTCGGATTTGAAGGTTGATATGTTTTCATCCTGGACCAATTGGCATAGCTTTTTTCAGGAACCTGCTGGGGGCAAGCGTGCAAGTGCATCTCTTTGGTAGCAGGCATGACCAAGTCCTGCCCGGTCTAGAGCCCTCCAAAGTTGAATCGCTAACCATTCAAATGAACCCTTAAAGCGGGACACCTCTGCAGGTTTAGAGTCAGAGCATTTCCAAAAGGTCTCAAAGTGTCAAAAGCGCTTAGAATCGGTGAGGGTATCTCTTCTTTGAGTCCCTCCCAGCCCTGAATTGTGAACTACCTGAAGGGGATCCTAATCTTGAGCACGCCCAGCTCCTCAAACCCTCCCAGTCCTTCAGAACTTCAGCCCGCAACGCTCCAGGTTACAAGCCCAAAATCCCCAATCAGACCTTAAATCCTAAAGGTGGGATTGGGGTTCATGCGGTTCAAGGGAGATGCAAGGTCAGATTCAGGATTGATGAATCTCTGTCTGGTAATAGTAATAATATGTTAGAAATAGCATAATTTTCGTGATATTACTGTTAATAGTAGCAATATTCGTAATATTAAGAATATCAGTAATACTAATAATGTTGCTACCCTGTCCGTCCCCTGACTTGATTACCGAGGCCTCTGGTAACAACGCTTCGCTGGGCATCGTGTCGTTGCAGGTTCCCCAGGGGTTTAGGGTTTAGGGTTTAGGGTTCATCTCCGCTGTCTCTGTAGTCTCAGGACCAGGACCCTCCTCGTACCCTTTAAATATGGGTAGATGGTCCTTATTTAGGGTATATAGCCCTTTAAATATGGGTGTATGGTCCTTATTTAGGGTATATAGAGGGTAGAAGGAGGGTCTAGGGAATTATTTTCCATTTCTTATTATAGTGTACCCTAAGGAATTAGGTAAAGATACTGTGTTTATTGTAGGTCTAAGGGGACTACAGGTTTAGGGCAAGGCCCTAGCGTGGTTTTCATGGGATTTAGGGTTGGAGTTTTGAGTTCAGGACGGAGAGTGACAGGACAAGAAGGATCATTGGTTAGGATGTATGCCCGGGAATTGCTACGGGGATCCACTCCATCATTCTCTGCTATACGCCAGGTAGTTACTTATGGTTAGACAGAATCTTGCCTTTTGTGAAGTCTCCTTTAAGTTGTTGACTCAAATCCATTAAACACTCCCTCCATGTCCCCCCTCTTCCTTGAAGCGCGTCCCCCATGTTTTCATGGTATAAACCGGATGAGAAGCAAGACCTATGAAGATGATGCCGCATGAACCTGCGCTGTTGTGAAGACTTTTCTGGTCAGAGCAGCAAGCTTGAAAGATTCTGCCACGAACATGTTGATGGCTGTTTCTAGGGATGCCCGTTTTTGGCGTCCTTGTCCGGGGACATGCTTCAGGCTCCACTCCTTCATACTTGAAATCAAGTTGTGATTGTGCAGGCTGAGTTGGTTCAAGGTATTGTGGCAGCGGGTTGCGCGTAGCAGCTGCAGTGTAGCATTTAGTGCAGAATGACTCTTTTCGCTAACACTGTGGTGCCGGGCCATCGAATCAAAGCTTGGTTGTGCGTGATCAGCTTGTATTCCGTGCCGACTGCGTTCTTCGTGTACCAATCACGAACCATTTGGCATGGTGAGCCCAACATGCAGACATCCATGTCTTCATCATGGGGCGGCTTGCCTTCCTTCTTCATATGCGCAGGAGAGGGAGGGGGGTTTCCGCACCTCTACCACAAAAACGGCCTGAGCCTGCGCGGACTTCATCCCCGCACCAACCCGCCGCAACAGATTCGTGTTTCGAGAAGTTCATCAACGAGCTCTGCGTTGGGGAGGAAGCTGGGAAACTGCCTGGTCATCAACGCAACCGCATTGCAGCCTCTAGGCGGAATGCGAAAGTCAAGCCTCACCTTTGACATGTACGTCGCAGCAGAACCTGACAAAAAGCCCGCCAAACACATCAATTTGCTGAGCTATGACCCCCATGCTATGCCACGGCTGCAAGTCTTAACAGGGTTAGTGCCGGGCGTTACGCAGGTGGAGCTCCGCAAGATCAGAAAGGGATCTATTGGAGTGTATGGCGACACAATTCAGGATGAAGCTTACGATGCCGTACTGCAGTTCTTGGCGCCCACGTTGAAGAACAGCTATAGCACCCAGCTTCAGTACACATTCCCAGATCTTGAGATGGAGTTTTGGGCCGGCGGTAAAAATCAGTCCCAGGTACAGTCTGCACTCATCAAAAAGCTGAACATACAATCTCAGACAATGCGCGATCGCCTGCAGACAGTCATGCAGACGCCCAAGCAAGACTACAAGTTCACCATCGATGTTTCGTCGGACCATGTCCTGGAGGAGGTGGGGGTTGCTTCACTACCCTTCCAAAATCCTTGTTATGTACTATAGTCTAAACTCCGTAAACGGNNAGACTATAGCTCATATGGGGCCTCTTCTCCTCTGGTCATCCTCATGTATCCCCAGGGCCTGCAAGGCCTCTCATTTTCAGAAGCCCGCAGGTGGAGGTTGGCCGCATTCCGCAGCTGCTCTACTTATTGTCACGCATTGGTGGCTACATGTCCGTACTCAGCCTGATTCTTCATTTCTTCTTTGTGCGGCGCTATCCTGATAGCCAGGTTGTACAGACATACGAGGCGAAAACCCTCTTGTGGAGTGAATTCCCAGAGGAGCCCGCTAGCAGCATCGACCGCAACAGCGGCGCGCCCGATGCCCGTTCCATGCAAGCTGCTTGAGCTTGCGGCAAAGGGTTTCTGCTGAATTTTACATGCCTGCCGAGGAAAGAATGGGTGGATCTTGAAGACCATCCAGCTCTTATCGGTAAACCCCGGATTAGAGATGTTTTTTTTTTTTTTTTTT